CGGCCGAGCCCTCGGCGCTTCCCGCCCACGCCGCCCGCGGGACCTCAGACCACCCCGAGTCTCCCAGCAGACGCGGCGCCCCCTCCCCGCCGTTTCCGGCAGCGGCCCCCGCCTGGCGCGCGTCTCCACGTCCCCAGACGTGCAGCCCCCACAGCCCCGGGCTCCAGACGCGCGGCCCCACGCCCCGCGACTCTCGCTTCGACACGCGGCCCCCGCGTCTCGCGGCTCCCGCCGCCCACCTTCGCCGCCCTGCCGTGGGTCCCGCTTCTCACCCTGCCACCGCCGAGGCGGTTCCCTACCCCCTCTCCACAGGCTCTTCGGAAGGCGGCCACCTGCCCCCGCCGTGGGTGGGGAGTCTCCTCCCGGGGCGCTACTTCCCTCCCCCGCCCCTGCAGTCCCCGGCCCGCGCGCCATCCCTGCGCCCACGCAGGACGCTCCCTTCCCCCGGCGCGCGCTGGCTGCCGAGCTGCCCGACCAACCCGGCTCCGACCCCCGGGAGGGGAAAAGGGTGGGGGGGACCCTCTTCTCTCCTACTGGTCACCCCGCCCCTCAAGGGCTCTCGAGCAGCCCCCTCCCACCCTGGTGGCACTCCTGATCCCGACGGGGCATCTCGCCTCGCGCCAGGTGCAGGGTGGCCGCCTCGTGCCACCCGCCTTCCCCATCCACGCTGCCAGGGCAGCAGCAGCCCCCTCCTCACTCCCCGCCCTCCTGCCAGGCGCTACTGCCTCAGGTCTCCCTGCGGGTCTCCAACTCCCCCCCTCATTACACGATGTGCAAGATCCCTCTGCCTCTAGATCCCAGTTGGCCTCTTCTGACCCCCGTCCGCGACACGCGCGCCCTCACCCATGCCCAGTCTGCAGGCCAGGGGCTCCCACCTCCCCGTGACCCCCCTTCCCCCATACTCCGCTGCAGCGCGGCAGATGTCAGGGACTGGGACTGGCGCCCCCGCCGGCCCTTCAGACGTCGCGAGGCTGGGAAGGACAGGGGCATCCCCAGGTGACTTACCGCAGTCGGCTGGAGAGCTGCACCGAAGTTGAGCATGGTTGGCTGCCTGGTCGCCGGCGGCGAGCTGACTGGCTGCTGGGCTTCTTGGCTGCCTGGTCACAGACGGGCGCCCGGAGACACTCGACGCCGCTCTAGCCACCGCCGCGCTCCGCGCCGTCTGCCCCCTCCCCATTCAGGTAGCCGCTCCGCCTGCCCCGCGCCGCGGGCGGGGGCGGGGGCGGAGCCTGAGATAGACCAATCAGGAACAAAGGTGTGTGAGGTGCGGGCCAATGAGCTGGCGGGGCCACGCGTGATCAGCGACTGCCCGGCAGCGTGAAGCTTGTGTCAGTGGAGCGTGTACACAATCCCCGGCAGCGTGTTCCCTAGGCCCGGCCTGAGGGAACTCCCGCGGTCACCTGATTTAGCGATACCCCCCCTACCCCTTCGCCCACCCCCGCCTGTCACCCCCCACCCGGGCCTGAAAGGGGGGGCGGGGCCCCGCCCGGAGGCGCGGCTGCGGCGCGCCCAGCACTGCGGAGGGCCGGCCCCACGTGGTGGGTGGGGAGGGATGCCCGCTCCGCCCAGTCCTCTGGGCGCGGGGCCCCTTCTCCGCCCGCCGCGGGGTGGGTGGGACTCCGGGTGGCGGGGGAGGCGGTGGCTCTCCGCCAAGGGGCCTGAGCCAAGAGATTAGCATTTGGAAGCGCCGGCCTCTTGCGCGTCTAGCGAGAAAGCAGAGCTTGGGGACCAACCGAGCTGCATTTCTAGAGCCTTTGCCGGGTTTTGCCTCGCTGGGCCGTGGGGTGCACCCGGGCGGGATGGGGAGGGGCTGGAGCCCCGCAGCCGAGCCGACACCTGCTTCCGCGCCCCCCTCCCCGCCCACGCCCGGGCCGCCGGAGCTGGCTCGCCTTCCCCATCTGCGTCGCTGGCGGCAGTACCCACCCCGCCCATCCTTCCTCCAGGGCAGCAGAGAGAACGGTGTAAGGACTGCTGGTAAACCCTGAGAACTGGACAGATGAGGTGATAGGGAGCCAGAAACCAGAGTTGTTCTCCGACGCAAAAGCTCGTTTGCAGAATCGAGTTTTGAGCGCAATGCAAAGTTCAAATTGCAGTCTAGACACTGTTTCAGTGGTAGACCTCACCGTCCCCCCACCCCATTCTGGAAGCTGCTTGTGTGGATGGGTAGGGAGGGATGTCCTTAGGGTCTCCGGGAGCCTGCCCAGAGCACTCCGTGGGTTGGGATTGTGTCTGGCGTGCCCAAAAATGCACCCCGTGGACACCCCTCTACCACCTTCAAGTCTTAACCATTCCCCTCTGTTCCTCTACACCCCCATCTGGGACACTCACTCAGGGCTCAAGAGCTGGTTGGGGGCTGGGGCCTTACTAGTTCGACCGCAGGGTTCGCTCTGCTTTGACTTCTTATTTGCTCCCTTTCGGTGCCCGGTTCACAGCAGCAGTTGTGGAGAGGAGGGCAGGGATAACGGGCCTTAAAGCAAACCGGATATTTTATCTCCTTTGGACAAACTGAACACGCGGCACAAATCACTGCCTCTCCTGTGAGCTATCTCATCTCTGTGTGACTGAAAGGCTAATCCTGCAAGTGTCCTTTCCTCAAAACTGCAGAATGAGCTTAGAAAGGCAGTTGATCTTTTTTTGGAAACTGCAAAATCTACGAACATCGATGGCTTCTTCTGGTTTATGGAAGGCTCCGGCTAGCCGACAACAATGGTAGTGATAATACGATCCAGGGGGGTGAGGGGAGGCAGAGAGCAGACTTGGTTATGGCTGGAGGGGAAAGAGGACTGAAAGGCTTCCTATCATTGCCTTTCCTGAATCTGCTGGAGGGGCGCCAGCACAGTGACCAGGCAGCGCTTCCTGTCTCCCTCATCCTAAACTCCCGCTTCTGTCTGCAGGGTGTTCCTCCCTGCAGGCTTCCTTCCGCCCCGGGCTGTCCCATCCTGTTGATCAGAGCCTGAGGGGCTGAAGCAGCTGGCCTTGGGCACCTGCCACAGAGAGGAAGCTGCTGTCTGTGCCCAGCCAGCAGGCCAGCCAGCCTTCCTTCCTGTCAGGGAGCCCCCCACCCCCAGTCACCCACACCCATCCCCTTTGGGTGGCCACACACAGGCTGTCCTCCAGGTCTGAATCTAGTCCCTTCCTCAGGAATGTGGGGCCTGCTGGCAGTACCCCAGCAGGCTGAGAAGCAGGGAGCATTCATAGCTTGTGGGAGTGACTCAAAACAGGAAAGAAAAGAGAAAAGGGGTAGGAGGAACAGTGGCACAATCCCTAGAGATTCAGAGAAAGATGTTCCCCAGGCACCTCAGACTCAACATAACCAAAACTGACAGAGTTGTTTCTACTTCTTCCCATATGGACTGCTTGTCAGCCTTCACCTTCTCCCTCAAAGCCCTGGATCCAGTTGATCCTCAGATCCCAGCAGTTTGTCTCAGAAATGTCTCTTTCTGTCGCTTCCATTTCTGCCCCTCCAGTGTTGCTCTAGGTCTGTCTGTCATCGGCTCTTGGTTGGATTTAAAATAACATGCAACTTCCCCCCCCCCCCCAACAACAACTTCCACTCCCTCCCTGGCGGGTTCCAGTGCTCATACTGCATGATTAGAGTAGCTTTTTGAGTCATGATCCAGTCATGGCTCTCCCTGTGCCCCTGTTGCCTGAGAGATAAGTGGAGCTACCTTGGCTGCCCCAGCTGCTCTTCCGACCCTTCCAACTTCATCTCCCACCCAGATATGTCCTTGTCCAAAACCCACAACCAGTGACTTGCTGACCCTAAAACACATGGCTCATGTTCACATCCTCATTCAATCAATATTGTGTTGCTCATTTATCCGCTCCACTTGAGTATTTGTTGCACACTTACTATGTGTTCAAGACACCTGGCAACAATGACTTACACAAGCAAGCTTGAATGGAGAGGCAAGGGATTTTATATAACATGGGAAGGTAAGTTAGTTACAATACATCGAATTGCAATCAGGTGATAGGATTGTGCCTGTGTGGCTAACTGGTTTGGTCTAGGAGATAAGAAAAGTTTTCTTTGAGGAGGAACCTTTAAGCCCCAAACCTAATGAGATAGAAAGCTGTAGGGAGAGCAGATGAGAGGAGAAGCAGCTAGAGCAGAATCCATTAAGGAAGGAGCTGTTCTGTGTGATAGAGTGTGGCTTGAGGTGGGGTGTGGGTATGTGGGAGGGGTGATGTTGGAGAGCTAGGTAGGAGGGGCCAGAGTATTGAGAAATATATAGATCACAGTATGAAATCTGAAGTCTTTCTTTAAAACATAGTGTGAAGCCATGATGTCTTAGAAAAAATGCACATTTTTATTCCTGAAGGACATCTTTGCCTTCCTTTGCTCTGTTGACACCTTTTTTTTTTTTAAAGATTTATTTATTCATACAGAACTGGGGTACAGGCCAGAGATGCGGAGGATGAGAGGATTCACCAGAGACAAAGTGGGGAGCAGAACAGACAGACTGAAGAAGTACACTGCTGAGGGGAGCAGCGGGCGGGTCAGGAGAGGTCTGCCACGCCATGTGGTCACCTCCGGGGCAGGCAGGGATCGAACTCATGTGGAAGTGGCTTAAGCTTCTTAGTGCTGTGCTTTAACCCACTGCACCACCAGAGAGGGCCCAGTTGACACCTTTTTTAAAGCTTAATAATTCCAAGTTGAATTCTTTTCTTTCACAGCACTCTGTCCACACTTCCATGTTGGAAGTAGAGCACATATCACATCTTAAGCAAGAAGTATTTTGTAACACTGGGTCCTGCCAATGCTCTACCCAGAGCTGAGTTGCTTCAAGGTGGGTCCAGTATCTAGTCTATATTTGACACTCAAGATTTATTTAATAGAAGAATTACAATCATAAGTTGACTCTGAAAACTCTCTGGGGTTGCAGGTAGAATATGCACAAATGCCTAGGCAGAAGTATGACTCCTATGTATTTCCCTTAATTGGTGTCATTGCAGGGAAAACTTTTAGGCATGAATAAAAGAAGCTCTAGGTTAGAGTAAGCAGTGCCACAGGTAAATGCTGATGCTTCCTGCTGATGCTGCTGGTTTCTCCTTTAATCAGAATAATGAAGGGAGTTAGGGAGCTGACATGTAAAGGCCTCCTAGTTCAATGATGGATGTTAAAACATTGTACCCACCTACCATTTTCTGTTTGCTCCTTACAGGCAAAGGATAACATCACCATTCATCGTCTACTATATCCCAGCCACTAGCTGAACACTGAAGAAGAAACCTAAAGATACAGGTCCCGTGTTAAAAGAACTTCCAGTTGAGTAGAAGTCAATAATAAGCCAGCCATTACTATAGAGGGTAGTAACTATCACAAAGCAAGGGGAGGCAAGGAGGGTGTGGTACACAGGGTGTCCTGGGAAGGGCTCTGGGAAGGCTTCCCCCAGTTGATCGCAAAGCTACACTGAGCAAGGGGAGGTGGAGAGTTGAGAGAGTACTGGGGATTCAGGATGCTCTGAACTGGGTTGATCACAGAATCAAGAGGTCGTATGAGTAGCTTCGGGAAGCAGCCCCAAACTAACCGCTAGGGTTTGGTAACTGATTTGATGTGGCCATGAGGAAGAGACAAGTGTGGGGAAAAGCGGGTTGCAGGTTAAATTCACGGAATGAAACAGAACAAAATCCTGATACTGTTGCCCAAGGAAAGGATCATAGGAAGGAAAGTTTTGGTGGAAAGAAAGAAAATGCCAAGTTTGATTTAGGACATGTAAGAATGAGATTGCCTATGATATCCAGAAATGGCCAGGAAGCAGTTCAGGAGCCGGAGACAAAGATCCCGGCTGAAGATTAAAATTTGGTGGCAGATGAAACCAGGAGAGGGGTGAAATCCCCCAGGAATAGCAAAGAACAGGAGATAAGGAAGCATGAAGCTCTGGCACAGGGAAGATTGAGGGCAACTACCATGTGCTGGAATATCCACAAAGGTGACATGGGGGAGGGGCTTCTTTCATGTTGGCACCCCCAATGACTTCTTGGTGTAACAGGACATAAAATGCAGAGGAGAGCAAACCAGGGCTGATTCAGAAAGTGAAAGTGTCAGACAGATTAGGGAAAAATATACCCCTCTGACCGGTGATTATTCCTTATTTTCCTTGAACTCATTACCAAGATTAAAGTTCATTAAAAACTTTTTTTTTCTAATTCCTGAACTCTTTTTGTTGAGTAAGTTGTTTCTAACGGTGGCACAACAACGCCTCCAACTCTGCATAACCTTTTCCAA